TCTTCCGTGGGAGCGAAGAGAACATATCGTTGTAAATTACACCAACCACGTAACAGAATTATGGACTCGCTGGTTTCGCAGTCTAGGATCCATGCTAGTCCGGAGACCAGTGGGACACATGATGACCCAGAATCTTCCCAACCTTCGACTTCTGGGTCTCAAATGTTGTTGGTAGTAGTAAATATCACCTAGCAGTGTAATAATACGTGATAACCGACTTGCAATCATTGAAGAGCAATCTATGTAGTCAACGAGCAAAACCGCAAGCTCGAATGATTGCTATGCAGGTGAGGGTTCGAGGTCCAACACCGAGAGCTCGGCTCACTCAGAAAAGCATTAGTTCAGGAAGTTGAGCAGTTTCACCGTATGAATTTGCCTATCTATCTAGACAGACAATGTTGCGCATGCGGGGAGGTCATCTTCAGTCAAGATATTTTCTTCCTTTCCGACTAGTGGTTAGACACACAGTCACCACCATGAGTGTTAGATGCTCATTGGTGCGAGTATTCGCGTTGTGTCGTATGGAACGAACCTCCGGAAATTATGAAGAAGCTCGTTGGAGTGTCCTGTCTTCTAATCCATCGTTTCGTCGTTGTTTCACATACCCTCACAATTTGTGAGTCACAAGTTAACACCACAAACTGTTTAGTGAGAAATGTGTCAACGGGTAAACAATGGCAGCATTTCCCGATGGGGACGTATTATCGCTCATCAAGCCACCTTCAGTACAAGCTTGGGCATGATGGACATCGTCATCAACTCTTGGAACAGCAGCTTGCACGCATATGGTATATGAACCTACCACCGAAAACAGCAGTAAAATGACAACGACAAACCAAGTAGCTGTTACCTGTGATATCGTCGAGTTCTTGCACGCCCTGCATTCGTAGTGATTCTTATACAAGTTCGCGATCGCAAACATACCACAGTTATCACATACGTGAACCCTGAATGACCGAGAATTTACCCACCACCACGAAAACCGTCTCAAAAATGAGTATTGAAATCACCTGTAAGCATCCGAAATATCAAAGAGTCTCTCCTTGAGGAACTTGGCCGCTCCGTGACTAATCATGCAATCACGTTCCATCTCTCCAAATCGCAGACCGCCCTCTCGTCCACGACCCTCCATAGGCTGTCGTGTGAGCATCTGCATTGCACACATCACCAACTGTCTCAGACAAGAACCGAGCCAACCTGCATGGGCCCCCGAGCTCTTGAATGAATCTTGTCTTCAACCATATGCTTCAGTCGCTGATAATACCTGACAACCACAACTCACATCCTAACACTGTCGAACCTCCCGCCTCACGTTGGACCGATGAATATCTTCGCTGGTAGCCGTAGACCAGTATGGCCGTTGTACATAACCTCTCGGCCCTGTCTCTGGAAGCCCAACTCATGCAACCGCGCCATGATCTCATGAACAGTAACCTGCAAGGATCATCCATACCCGCGCACGGTCCGGCTGTGTCCAACTCACTTGGGAAAATGGTGTGGCATCACCCTCTTCTCCACTAAGTAGTCCAACCTTCCCGAGCAAACACTCGACAAGATGACCAATAGTCATTCGAGAGGGCACAGCATGAGGGTTCATAATGATATCAGGGACCACTCCAAACCTGCGACCAATGATAGTAATGTCGATGGGAGCCCCGACCTTCCTACTGTGTGAAGGGCATGTCTTCTTGTCTGTAGGAAATACCCATGGTACCCTTCTGACCGTGTCGAGAGGCGAACTTGTCACCAATGGTTGGCACCCTCAACGTCCTCACACGGATCTTCGTGAACTTGTGACCACGAGCATTCACAGACAACATAACCTAACAGGAATAATCACGTGCACTGCGCGAGACACGCTAGTAGCTGATGACCTGATCCACAACACCATTATCAGCGCCCTTGAGGGCCACTGAACAATCGCGTTCAGTATACCTGTGAGCACACAAATAGATCACCTACACCAAGGCGCCATTCTTACTTCTGGATGCGACCTTCCTCATCTGTCTGATTAGGAATAGGCGATACCTTCCCTATAAGAATATCATCACCATGAACTCGTGTACCTACGACCAACATGTCCACCTACGTTATATCTCGCATGCTCACCAGGATTGATAAGACCATCATTATCCAGCTTAGAGTAGTCACCTCTCTTCATAGCGTACGTCTTGGACCAAGACGGAGCACGGAATTCCTCAACGACCTGCGGACGAAGGCCACTTACTCCTTCCCAACCAATGACTTTGACCGCCCACCTGAGCTCCCTGCCGCTTCTCATCAGCCATATAGCTCTTGAAGTGAACCGATCTCATGAAGCCTCGATCGATCGAAGAGGCGTTCATGATAAGGGAATCTTCCTGGTTGTATCCCGAGTAAGTCATAATAGCGACCTAAACACCAACACCTATTCCCAGCCTGACCTCAGCAGCCGCCTACGATAGCGTTGTTGCCGGCGGGCAGTTCTCTGAACCTCAAATACTCCATCGCTCGCGTGCCCACCAAGGGCTTTTGAGGATAGTTCAACACATGCGCCATAGTGTCGATACGCATCTGAAAATACGACCCTCAACAATTTAAGAACAACCAGGCTCCAGCTCCGCACGTTGAAGTTGGTCGCATACACTCCCATAGCCTGCTTCCCCATAGCACTCTGATAAGTGTTACGAGGACTCTGGTTATGATCAGGGAAGGGAATAATCGAGGCACATACACCCAGGATCAACGATGGGTGGATCTCACAGTGGGTATACCTGAACACCACATCAAGTGCGCCCTAGGGGGCATCCATCACCAAGACACCTACGTATGGCAATAGCTGCTAGCCTTGCTCTTCCTCCTCTGTGCATTGCGTAGATCATCCACGAACATTGCCACCATACACGTCTCCTCCTGAACATACAGTGACCGCCCCGTTGGACAACACACGAGGGGCTCACTTCCTCAGCATCAATGTACTCAACCAGACCCTCCTCCACCAGCATGTCCCACCCACCGTGCTCATTGTTCAGCTACAACAAAGAAGGATCATCAACACATCCTTAAGAGTCGCCAATTCCCAGTCTTACCAGCATGCGTCGTAATGCTTCCACATGTTCCCTTTTAATACACAGCTTTTGACTAGGAGGCGGTTGAACAACATACAATGGTCGACAGGCACGCCCACCGTCAGTGAAGATTCGCAACTCGTTCGCCTACAGTAAGACGATCCACACCCCTACCATCAACCATCAACCTCACCTGGAGATCACGAATAATAGACACTTCAGGATCGATATCCCTCTTCCTCCTCAAGTCACGCAACGTCTCACACAACATCGTTGCGTCTGCGTGCATGCCCACCCATTGCCCATTCAAGAAGACCTAAAACCACAGCAGCTACACCACAGGACCACTACCAGTCCTCCCACCTTAGTCATATGCTTAATCTGACTCGGATTGATCTCATCCAGGTTCTCCAGACCCCACTCGTTAAGGAAGTCATACACTACGTTGGGGAGACTCCCAACCGTGATGGTACACCTAAACCCTCAACTACCCAGAAACATCACCAAACCCTCTTTACATTAACGCAATGTTCTTCACCAACCCAACCGCCTGCCCTTCTGGGGTCTCAGCAGGACAGATCATACCTAAGTCCCATCACTACCAGCCGGTCCTTCTGATCCTCTCAGCACTCACCCCAATGAGTATTGTGCAACTGCCGAGGCTTAGCCAGCTTTCCACTACGCTCCAAGGGAGTGTTCATACGCCTTAGATGGGACATGGTCGACATGAAGGTAAGTCGATTTAACACCTGAGATCAATACCAGCTATTGCGCAAGTTATGGTCACAACTCTAAGACCCAACACGTTATTACAAAGCGCCTCACATACGCTTACTCGTAAATCAGGAGAAAGCGCGTGTGAGGCGGTCACCACACACAATGAGAAGGGACAGATATGACTCGTGACTATGACGCATAATCAGAGATCTTGACCATCCCCCCGACATTAATTCTATACCATTTACACGACCTCCTTTCCTCCCTACCTGGCTCACTCCTGTCCGCACTGATTTACCAGACTTATCAATACCCCAGTTACCAGTAGCCAATTGATACCTGACCACTTCTCCTACCACTACTCCAACAACAGATCTCTCATCACCTCAGCCCATCTGTAATGCTCGAGGCGCTTCGTATCGCAGAGTTGAGATCAAAGTGCCGACCACTATCCACTTGACGCTGCAGGATCCTCTTACTGTCTTGGACCAACTACAGTTCATAACTGCACCCCTACCACCAACCAGTTCTGCCAGAAGCATCACCTTCCTGAAGAGCTGTGCAAAGCTAGCCGCCATGAGTGGCCCTGCCATGTCCATCCTCTTCTTTCCGAAGTGATCCCTGTCATCCTCGGCAATCCTACCCAGCTGGCCCAACAGCAACCGATGGACCATGTACCTACATATGAGAACCACTCAAGAGACAAGAAGACTTGTCCCATAGTGAAAGCATGACGAGGCCTAACCCAAGGAGCAGGTCGCTTATCTATTCACTCTATCGTAAAAGATACAAACAGACTGTACTGCGCCGTGCTAATATAATGGACGAAGGATGCCAATCGGAAATGCTACTACTACTACCATCACAAGCGTGATTCGTAACGGCCAAACTCAGTGTCTAGAAGCCTACCCGATGAAATAGGCCTTCCTCGGCTCACAGTACTGTTTGACACCGAGATGAGGCAGCAGCTCTTTCTGCAGCAGCTCCTTAGCGTATCTATTATATACATTGAGTAACCCGACTACCATCACCATCACAACCCGTCCCTACTGTATACGACCACTCTTCGATGTCCCAATAGTTGGCCCTCTTTTAGCGATGAAGTCCAAGGCAACCTGCCACCAGGCATCATATCCAACAGCCACCAGCATCATCATGATCATCACTATTACCTCCTGACTCATGATCGGCATCGCCTCTTCTATACTAGGCCTCAATAAGAACATCATCTGTGTATCGGAAAAGTCATAGACGATTCTTTCAATAACCTCACGGTCCGATACGCAGCCCAGGGCTCGGAAGAGAATAACCACAGGGATGTCCGCGTTGATATACCTAATATCGTACATGGCAAGAAGCCGACCCAAGGGGAGGCCCATCCTACGGCATTGAGCAGACGATCTGTCCTCTAGCCGCACTCCTCCCTCCCAGATTGGCCAACATCTTCACCGAGAACCCACTTGTGCTGAGCATACCCTCAGCCTGGGACCGAATCTGATAATGAGACGGTCATCGACTAAATCACTAACTTCGCCCACTAGCGCTGCACTTCAGCACATGAGAACTATCATGAGGTTCACCAAGCCATATCCGTCATTCTCATCGCTCTTCAAACGTCCCGTCTAGGGATAGTATTACCTCACATATCCACGTATACTTCGCTGGCTGCTTCTTCTGGAAGCAATACACAAAGTTATTGGCCATCCTCTCCATCGCAATTAGCACTTTCTCTGACCCATTGATGATAAAGTACCTGTATGGGCCCACTACCCTGAACGCCCTGAGACCCCCACACACTACCCTCCCTGATCGAACACGCACTCTCCCATCTCGACCAAGCCTCGCTCCGTCTGGTTCTTAAGCCAACAGTACTCCGACTTTAGCATCATCGGTATCCGCCCAATGAGAATTTTACTGTACGAGTCCTCGGATATCTACCAACACACTGGTCCAAAGGGAGCAATGGTGTTCACACAACCAAGTGGACCCAAGAACACTACCAGTTGCTTCTCAGAGTTCGGATCATCCGGATCCGCTAAGGCGTAGGTTGTCTGCGTTACATTGACATAAACCTGAGAGCCGCATCAGCATCACCAACCCGGAATATATCGACAATCTAATGGTGGAGAACGCTATATCTAAAAAACTGTCATCTACTACAAGAGCCTCCATCCGAGATCAGGAAGGATGGGAGAGCTCCTGTCAGTGCTTTCTGCAATGCATAAGCCTAATCCCACGCCCCCCCCCCCAGAAGCTCGCAAGCAACCAAGTCAAACCCTTTCGACGACCGAGCATTACCGGACTGCTGTACGTGAGGTTCCTCAGCCGCGCCTGGTTAGGGGTCAGACTGGTCATAGCTCCATCCACCTCCTCCACTGTGGGCTTGTTCAACGATAGCTGACCAAACTCTACAGGGAAAGAGGAGTCCATATATACCCCCGGCCCTTCCCTCCCCAACCTACTCAGCTCATACACATATCCAACATTCTGCTGCATCTGCTGCTGCTTGGATGTATTGGGATCATACTGAGACAGACCGTTGAGGCGGCAAACAGGCTAACAACCACAGAACTCATAACCCACCTGGTTCTGTGGTATGATGGTGATAGGGGGGCATTCATCAACGATTTCCTGCATCTTATAGGTCACGAAGTCATCGAATGAGCCCA